GTAATAACTAATTATTACAACCACCAAAGTTAAAATAATTTTACTTGCAAAGTTTATCTACTTGGCGATCCATTAATAACCAAACTTCAGTGTTCAGGATTCAAATGTCAATGCCAAGCAGGTTTATATAGGAGTGAACATTGGTTATAATGGTTTGGTTTGCTTGTGATTTAGGAATACCGACAAACCAAAATTTATCAATTTTTTTAAACCAAACCGAATCAAAGTTTTGAAAAAATAAAAAAAGAGCTGAACTGAAGTTTAATGATTCAATTTGGTAGATTTCAGTTATTGGGCCTGTTTTTGGCAACACTTTTGGCTTATTTTTTTCAACACTTTGAACCTATTTTTGTCAAGATATTGGGCTCATCTTAAAAAAAAAAATCATACTAATTAAAAAATAATTTAAAACACTAAATTCTCCCAATTAAAGTGGAAAGAAAACGATTGAGATATTATTAGATCATGTGAAATTTGAAAATCTCAAAAAATTATAAAATTAACATAACAAATATAAAGTTAATCATGAGGAAAACAAAAGGGATTCCTAAAAACAACGGTGTGGACATTGGACAGCATAGAAAAATATATCAAAATAAACTAATTAGATTCAGTCATTCAAATCTACACCTATGAGCTAAAAGTGTAGAGCAAAAAATAGATGAGTTCCACATATAATTTATATATTCACAATTTACCTAATGTAAATTCATAATAATCCAAAATAATCCATCACATAACAATAATAATGCCTTAAAAAATAATTAATCTATTGGATCATCACAAAATATTAAGAAAAAAAAACAAAAGATAACCAATCCATTATAATTTGCAAGTTGCTAGCTGCCAATGATGCAAAGTCTTTACTCAAGCTTACATTATAAAAAAATAGTTAAATTAAATATTTGGCCCGAAATATTACAAAACTAAAAAAATGAACATGCTTATTACAACACTAACTACCAAAAAGACAATAAGAAGACAGTAACAGAAATCAATGATCCAATAGAAGTTAGAAAACTACAGAAGCAACAATAAAATAAAGATCACAACTAAATGAACCAATTGCCATGGACAGCAATAATAAAGAGTAACCTTGAAGAGTTTACATTATATCCATTGTGGATTCCAATCCAATTCTTTAATATTAGTATATAATATTAGCATTTCTAAAAAATAATATTAGTAACAATAAAAAAATCTTTAATCATATAAACCAATTATAATATTTACAAATATATATAATTAATTTTGGTTAATTTAATTTTTTCAGTTTTGTAATTTTCAAATCGAACCAAACCATTTAAACTGAAATATTTTTTAAGAAAAATTAAATCAACCATTTAAACTAAATAAATCAAACCAAACATATCAAACTCAATTTAGTTCAGTTTCAAACTCAATAAGGCTATACATTGATAGGGTTAGGTCGGGCTTTATCCCAACCCGATATAGTAGTTTGGGCATTGAGTTGGGTTTGGTTCAACCCAAAAATATTTTGAAAATTATGAAAATAAGTTTTTTAGTCAATAAAAATATAATTAAAATATTTTAAAATATATTTCTTATAAAACTTATCCTAGAATTAAAATTAATAATTTTTAAAATTTTATATGCTTAAAAATTATTTATTATTTTTACCCAATATAAACTTATAAAGGTAGAAAAATCAATTTAAATTTTTAAAAAAATTATAAAAAATTTAAAATATGGAAATTATCTATAATAATCATGAAAGAAATATAATAATTAAAAATTCCAAAGGAAAATGATAAAAAATGTGTTCTCTCTGTCTCTGTGTTCGTGCGCGCGCACCAATATGTACAGTGTATGTTTAATTAGATACGTCCAACACTCAATGTTAATTTTTAAATAATTTTTATAAATTGACTGTATAAATTTAGTTTATATTGTTTAGATTTAAAACTTTTAACTTTTTATACTATCAAATTCAAAACAGTTCAAAATAAATTTATATGGTTAATTTATAAAAATGATAAAGAAATTAATATTAAATTTGGATAGACCTGATTAAATATAAACTATACATATTGATAATTAATAGGTTTATTAAATTTTATAATTTTTTTAATTTTAAAAATAGAAAAGTATTTGAATGTGGATAGTCTAAATCAAATTATTTGAGAGGTGATAGCCACGAGATTACAATTTATAAAAATTGTAAAAAAATTATTTCAAGTGCTCATCACCCTCCCATATGAAGAGCCCTGGTGTCAAGAGGAATTCAAAAATCTCATGAGGGGGGCATCAAGGAAGTTTTAAACTTTTAATTTGAAAAATTTCGCTTCCTTTCCAAAGAGACCAAAGAAATCTTTGTCTTGCTTGAAAACAGTTCCAAAATCATGAACATCGCTTTATGAGATGACATGACAAAATATGCTATTGAGCTAACCACAGTCCATCCCCACAACAAACCAGCCAAGTTCTCCTCCTCCTCCTCCTTTTGTTTTGGTGAAAACATCAATATTTTCATTAAGGTTGAATGGGAAAAGCCCTGACAGGCCACATGAACACCATCATGGAGGGCCCATTTCGTTGAAATCACCATCCCTCAAGCGGCGGGATATTATTTCGGTTGCAATCTTGACTTTTAAATAATAAAGTTAACATTTTGGTGTTTTTTAGAACTTGTTGTGGATATGTGGCTGTGAGAATGATAATTGATAACATCAAGATCAGGAGAAATGGATGGTAAATTAGAGACAGCACATTGTGTTTGTATAAACAATTTTTTTTTTTTAAGTATAAGGTCACGGCAGAACGCAGTAGATGGATAATTGAAGGAAGGTAATGATATCCAAGTTGTTGCAAGAAGACTAGTGAGCAAGCAAATTGATACATGTATTTGCTTCTTTATACAAATAATTAAAAGTGATCTTTTAATCTCTCAAAATAAAATCCTGCCTTCTCAATAGCTCCTACTGATAGGGGCTGTCTTTCAATAAAATTATGCTGAATGAGTGGCAAAATTTTTATAAAATTAGAGTAGATATTAATTTTTGAAAATTTAGTGTTTTCAACAAAAGTTGAGGTCTTCCAAAATTTTCAGGAGTCCAACTATAATATTGGAATGATACATAAGATATTTAGAAAAACTTTTAATTTAATTCCCTTTGTCATCAAGAATAATGCTACGGCAAATAGTAGCCACATTGATATTGATTAAATTATCGATATCGAGTTTAACCCAACTTACTTTGGGGTATGTAAATAAATTTGTGAAAGTAATTGTTAAAGTGCTAACAGCATTTTATATATGCACATTTTCCCTGTATATGCAAGACAAGATTGTCACACATCATAAATAATGATTGGTAGAATGATAATTAAGTCCCAAAATAGTAAATTAATATTAGTTAAGTTTTTGATAATTTTTTTTGAAAAGTAAGTTAAAAATATCAATCCAAATTATAATAAATTCAAGAGTTTTAATTATAAATAAGTATTTAAATATCAAACGTAACTTTTACATTGCAACAAAAATTTTTATTTGTAAATGTTTGAATTGATATTTATAATTTATTTTATAAAACAATTTATCGGAAACTTAACTGGTATTAATTCAATGTTTTGGGACTTAATTATCATTCTCCCAATAATGATTAGCTAGAGTTTTTGTCACATATAGATTATGTAGACTAATTGACCTTGTCCAAAGTTTTTATGCTATCCATAATTTATGAACAATTTAATTTCATGTGTATTTATTGTATATATAGAAATGGATATAACTATACATAAATAAATACTTTTTTCTTGATGAAGAGGTTTCCATGAATTGGAAGACTTTGCGCCAATTCATAAACCACGCAGGCAATGAATTATTAGTTCAAACTCAGGTTTCCAATGGGTCCGACATGAGTTGTCAATTTCAGAAGACTGATTGTGATGAGGAGACAGGACATTGCCTCATCTAGTCCATCAATTTTTGTTAAAAATCCGGATCCTCTCATTTTATGCATAAAGGATGTTATCGGGTCAATTTCATATGCATTTTAAGCGTTATGGAACCAGATGCTTCTTGTCACTGTGTAGGGCCCTTTTGAAACTGTATTCTCAATCACTCGCACTAAATTTTGAGAAGAATTAAACCACTAAATCTTGTAGAATAATTAAGCAAATTATGCAACACGCCTGAGAGTGAATGACAAGCCTAATTATTCATTGGTGTTGCTGCTAAATTCATCTTCAAGTTTTGACAGAAATTACTTTCAGTGACCTAAAAGCAAAGCTGAAAAGGCTAAATGAAACTATACAGGGACCAACCAATAGTTTCATTGCAGGCATGCATAGAATCTAGATGCTGTCAATGGCCATTGTTAAAATTGGATATGTAACGTTAGGAACAGATTTTCATTCAAACCCCAAAGCCAAGATGAAGCTTCCCACATGGAAGGTAATCTCAAACGACATTAATTAATTGAAGAAAATTGAGCCCTGATGCGCTGCCATATGGAGACGGTTCTGGCTTCTGGGGATGCTATTCTGGTCCCACCATGATCTGAATATGGACCTAAATCCCGTGGCAGTCGCCTCGGGCAAAGATTGGGGACAATTTCAAACAGCAAATATTGGACAACACCATAACAATTTCGGGCTTTGATCCAACTTCAATATTCAGTATAATTAATGACACTTCCTACACAGAACTAGAAGCAGCTCAAGAAGATAGTATGGATGAATAATGCAATGGCCAAATGCTCATGAATACAAATGAAGTGAAAAATCGCAACCACAATACAGCAGCTATTCAGAAGAGCAGATTATTTCCAGTAAATCGTGAGGTTGAATCATACAACATTTAAGGATGAACAAAATGATCCAATTCTCAGCTGCATCTTACTTTCTCCCCCTCCACCGGACCATCCCGGTTATGGATTCACAGATTGTGAATGGATTAATTGACAAGCATTCCCGTCCCGGCATAAATATTTGATTGAGACAATGATAAGAACATGGATTTATCTCAGTTCCAGAAGTCAATACAAGTGAAATCTTCATTAATTATATATTATAAAAGTGGAAAGGAAAAGAAACAAAAGTAATGATACAAGCAATCAACTTCAGCAGAAAATGGCTCGGGTCTTAGCAACACTGAATTCGAGGTCCCCAATTCACGCCTATACATAAATTTTCTCTGCCATTTTTCATTTCACAACCGGAATATTCGTAATAACTCAACAATATGGATATACTTTCTCCCCCTACCTCACTTTACTGTGACATCTTCTCTGGTTCTTTACAGCTATTGATGAAATGATCAAACTCAAATGAGAACAATGCTAGCGGTAGATTCGGCGCTGCACAAACCCTTGTGTTCTCTTTCTTTTTCCTTCCACGTGCGACGAGAGTCACGTAAAGTGGGAGCATAGTTGACGAGGTACAATATGATAATAGAAAAGAAATGCCCGCCAATATAACTAACTAATTTTTTTTGCTCGTAGAGGTGATGCAAAAGGAGCCAAGTTTTCAAACGAATCAATAGAAGGGCGGTGGGGGAGGGGACGCGTATGGAACTCCAACAACAGGCGGCATGGGCCCTTTGTATACAGGGGAAGGTGGTGGTGAACTGTAATGAACAGGGGAAGGAGGTCTGGGGGAGCTGTACTGGACAGGGGGAGATGGTGGAGATGTATATTCTGGCGGTGGTCGAGGAAATGGAGATGATGGTGGAAGGTAAGTTGTTGGAGGAGATGGTGGAGAATGCTCTTCGCACGGTGGTGGGGATGCAAGTGGAGGTGGTTCTACACAAGGCGGGGGAGGAGGTGATAGATAGGGATAAATAGGTGGTGAAGATGAGTGAGCAGGTGGAGGGGAATGCTGAGGCAGCCGCGGTGTTGGAGCCGTTGGTGATGGTGAATTTGCAGGTGGCGACGGTGAAGGCGGGGAAGGTGGAGGCAGTGAATAAACTGGAGGTGGGGGTGACGGTGTTGATGGAGAATAGCTAGGTGGTGGCGGTGGAGGCAATGAATAACCTGGACTTGGCCTTGTAGGAGATGGCGGAGAGTAAACTGGTGAAGATGGAGGTGACGAAGACAATGGTGGACTTGGGCTTGAAGGTGATGGCGGAGAGTGAACTGGTGAAGAAGGAGGTGACGAAGGCAATGGTGGACTAGGGCTTGAAGGAGATGGCGGATAGTAAACTGGAGAAGATGGAGGTGAAGAAGACCCTGGTGGAGTTGGGCTTGAAGGAGATGGCGGAGAGTAAACTGGTGAAGGTGAAGGTGATGAAGACCATGGTGGAGTTGGGCTTGAAGGAGATGGTGGAGAGTAAACTGGTGAAGGTGGAGGTGATGAAGACCATGGTGGAATTGAGCTTGAAGGAGATGGCGGAGAGTAAACCGGTGAATGTGGAGGTGAAGAAGACAATGGTGACGGCGGTGGAGGCGGATGTTGCGGACTATAAACAGGGGGAGAACGTGAAACACCGGGTGGCGAAGGTAAAATTTGCGGAGGTGAAGGAACCACTTCAGGCGACGGCGGTGGGGAACTTTGTGAAGGTGGTGAAGGAGCCACCCCGGGCGATGGCGAAGGCGAACCTTGTGAAGGTGGTGAAGGAGCCACCCCGGGCGACGGCGAAGAACCAAATGGTTTACATTTAAACGAGTTACAGTCAACTGGTCGAGACAAGAACGACATACATTGAGCTGCTGACCTCTGCAGTGGCCTCCCCGGCAAGCAATTCCTTCGGTCATCAAAAGCTGGCAGAGCCAAGCACGCCGGTGGCTCGCCAGTGAAGAAGTTAAAAGAGTACGTAAAGTTCTGTAGATTGGGTAGCATGCAAATACTGGCAGGAATTTTCCCAGAGAGCAAATTGTAAGCTACATTCAGCTGCTCGAGACTGACCATACCTCCAATGGTGTCTGGCAGGGGACCTAGCAGCTGATTAATGCTCACATCGAACACCGTCAAGTTCTTCAGCCTCCCAATCTCGGACGGCAAGCACGAACGGAACGCATTGTTCATCAGAATGATCTCGTTGAGATTTGACATATTGCCCAAGCTCGCCGGGATGCAGCCACGGAACCTGTTGTTAGCGAGGACGATGACCGACACCGGAGAGTTGCCAAAATTGTCAGGAAGATCGAAGGCAAAGCGGTTGTTATTAATAAAGATGGCATCCAGATCCTTGTCGAATAGTTCTTTGGGTACAGTCCCTTCAAATTCATTATATCTGAGATCCAAGAACTTGAGGGAGGGAAGACTCAAAACCACCTCCGGGAACTTGCCGGCGAACCTGTTGTTACTAAGATCCAGTTCAAAGAGCAGTTTCAACTTGCGGAACTCGTGGGGAATAGTACCACAGAACCTGTTCGAGTTAATGTGGAACAGAGAAAGATCAGCCAGAAGCCCGAGCTCTCGAGGCAAGTAGCCTGCAATGTCGCCATGGTTGAGATCAATGCCGGCAACTGTACGGATCCTGGGATTGTCCGGCGCGCGAGCACAGTAAACAGCAGTGTAGTTGCAGACATTGGATCCAACCCAATTGGCAGTGAAATTTCGGGGATCAGAGTGAATGGCTTGCTTCCAAGCTTGTAAAGCAATGTAAGCACTCCTGATGCGATCATTCTCGAAGACCAGAGAAGGGTCGAGGGTCACGAGCTCTCCTCTGTCACCGAACTGGTCTCTGTAGTAGAGAAGTTGACGCTGCGGGATGAAGACGGCTTGGGTGTGAGTGGGAGCTGCATTGGCGGTGATGGAAAGATGGTGCGAGGGAGTGAGGGATAATGCGGCGAGAAAGAAGGGAAGGAGGAGAAGATGAGAGTGGAAGAGAGAGATGGAGTCGATCTTCTTCTTCATGATTCACATGAAGCGACTGATATTGCAAACGCCGCTTGCTTCTGGATTTGAAGAAAGTGCCATTTTCAAATGCAATTTCTTTCCCTCGGCAATCGGCTTACGCGGAAACACCAAATTGCCACTGTGTACTGGATTACTTTAAAATTAAGTGCTTCATTTTTCGGCAGCAACGTAAGTATTTCATTTTTCTTAATATTTATTTCTAATTGCAGTTATTTAAAAAATAATTAACTAAAATTGCCAACTAATGAAAAAGATTAAAACCAGGCTGATGAGAGAGGTTAGCGAGTTTGCCTCGGAGTGTCGGTGGTTTTAAAATTGCACTGATGTTGTCAGGCGAGGTTCCTCCCCCCACCCCCAACCCAAAAAAAACAAAACAAAAAAAAAACAAAAAAAACAAAAATCAAAAGAAAAGAAAAGAGGCCCGACGGCGACTAGTTCCGCTAAAGCCGTTTTAGCCAGTGGCTCAACAGCTTTGGAGTTTCGCTGATCGGATGGTTTATGATGTTAATATACACTTGTGGTTTGGGTGAGTGTATAAAATATGGGACACTATATTGCTTTGACTGAAAACAAATATGTTAAATGTATATATTATTGAATATATTTATTTCTAAAATTTGAAATTATACCAGTGATTTCTGCATGAAACCTTCTTAAATCCCTTTTAAATTTTTTAAAAAATATTATTAAAATATGTTTAGTTTCTTAAAAATGATAAAAATTTATTTATTTTCTAAAATGTTCATATTAAATGTTGAAAAAATGACAATAAAATCTCTCTAAAATATATAAATGACAATCTGATATCTTAAAATGCTATAATTTCACTGAAGTTTTTAAAAAATTTTTGATCATTAATGAATTAATATAAATGATTAAATTACCTTGAAAATAAAACAATTCATTTAAATAATTATAACTTTTTTTTATATTTATAATAATATAACAGCAAATTATAACTTCACATATTAAATTTTCAATTTGCTATTGTATTGTTGTGAATATAAAAAAAAATTATAATTATTTAAATAAAATTTGTGAATCGTTTTATTTTTAATAAGGGTAATTTAATCATTTATATAAAATCATTAATAATAAAAAAATTAAAAAAAATTTAATAAAATTATAATATTTTGAGGTATCATTTTCATTTATATATTTTAAAAATATTTTATTATCATTTTCCTTTAAATGTTTGGCATAATATTTAAAGCTTGTTAATGATGTTCGAAAATCAAAACCATGACATATTTTTATCCAATTTTTAAAAAACAAGTATACATGATTAAAAATACTATTTTCATATCTATTCTTATTTAATAAAAGAAAAATAATAAATATAAATTTAAATTTAATTAAATTAAAATATTTATTAATGACATTCTAAAAAAATCCTTAATAATTATTGTCATAAAATACCAAAAAAATTATTTATTTCTCATAAAAATGGGCGGGACTCGGGAGGGTTGTGGCCGAGGGCCCACGCGTCATGTCTTGCCCGGCCGGACGGACGTTGTGGAAAAGGGCCCACCTGCTCTAGCTCCGACCACGGTTCGCGGCATTCAATTAAGAAGCTATATTTTTAAAATTTGGCAAAGGCAAGAAATATTTTTCTTAGAAAAATAGATATATCAACACATCGTATTATTTATCAGCATAAATGGTGCGGTTAATTTATCAGACTTTGAACAATAACTAGAATCACATTAATTGTTACTATTATTTGAAAAATTTAAAAGCTATAATCATTAATTTTATTTTATAAGTTATTTATTAATGCTACACAAGAATCATCATTTTTATTTTAAATTATATTAATCAGATTAATTTTGTAACAAACAGATTATATTACACTTTACTGCATGTCTAATATAGCCATGTATGCTTTTAAAATTATTATTATTAATATATTATAGTTTTCAATTTGTAATAAATTTCTGAAGATATGTAGTATTTAGCAATGTTTTAAGACCCAAACCAACTTGAATAGTCAGACTTGTCAAACCATCACCTGAAAAAGAAAACGGTTTAGTTCAACTATTTAGCCCATTATGACAATTGACCTCGATTGGTCCACTTTAACCTGGGCGGTTCTTAAAGACCCAAAGTAACAACTTCAAATCCGGAATGATTGAATCGTTTTGATCCGTTTTTTAATATATATGTATATAAATATTATTTTTTATTTAATTATTGTATTATTGGTTCAACCACTGGTCTAATCAATTGAACCATAAAACCTATGACCCACTAATGTTTTTAGTTCATTATTTGGTTCAGTTTTTAAAACATTGGTATTTAGTTATTTACATGCTCCTCCTTTTTGTTTCATATGCAAGCAATTTTCAACATTTTTACTATAGAGGATGAAAATATTAAAATTCACAAATGTTTTATATTAAAATTCACAAATATTAAAATTAAACATTTTTTATATGCAGCATTTTGTAATGTTTCAAGACCCAGACCAACTTGGACGGTCAAACTGGTCAAGCTATCACCTAAAGAAGAAAACAGTTTGGTTCAATCATTTGGCCCGTTTTGGTACTTGATCAGGGTTAGCTCACTTTGACCTAGGCGGTTCTTAAAGACTCGAAGCAACAACTTCAAATCCGGAATGATTGAATCGTTTTGATCCGTTTTTTAATATATATGTATATAAATATTATTTTTTATTTAATTATTGTATTATTGGTTCAACCACTGGTCTAATCAATTGAACCATAAAACCTATGACCCACTAATGTTTTTAGTTCATTATTTGGTTCAGTTTTTAAAACATTGATATTTAGTTATTTACATGCTCCTCCTTTTTGTTTCATATGCAAGCAATTTTCAACATTTTTACTACAGAGGATGAAAATATTAAAATTCCCAAACCCTATCTGAATTTTTTTAAAACATCGATTGATTATGCCCGTATTAAATATTTTTTTTTAAAAATCTACTTTTCTAAATTAATATTGAGTTGGAATAAAAGAAAGAATATTATATAGTAAATAATTAATGAGTTAGATTATAAAAAAGGGCAAAACTGAAAAACCTTCCCTCTGCTAGTTGTTTTAGAAGAGATACTAGGTTCAAACTTAACATTAATATGATTGATTTCGTGGGTGTGTACATTTTCTTTTCTTTTTTTAAATAAGAAAGAATTACTTTACGGGCAAATTTTTTTAAATAAAAAAACCTTGGCCAAATATTAGAGGGTGGCAGGTGAATTATGGAGTATTGACATATTGATTGATATGAATGATTAGGAAAAGCGCATGTGATATGTTTCCCCTCGGACTCGGAGAATGCAGAATCATCAGCAGTGGATTATGTTATATTAGTTCAAATTTGGGATTAGATTAATTATTTGCCTGTTAGTCCAGAACATGTCTTTCGGCCAACTTAGTTATGATTACGTCTGATCATCCATTTTAAGATTTAAACTTCCTTTGGTCCCTTTAAAAAAGAAAAATCATGTAACAGTCCCTCATGTTCTAGATTTTAGAACTAGTTGTGCTTGCACCGACAAAACAACGAACGCCCCCTCACGTCACATGTGTCCATTATTTATGTTTTTCGCCAACCATGTAAAATCAAAGCTGGAAGCAATTTATCATAGTGCTCTGTAATTTTTAATATATAATTAAGTGCTGAAAAATTATCAGAAAATTTTACATTGACATTAAAATTAGGACCCTTTTTTTTTTGTCTAAATTTTATTTTTATCAATTAGGCCAATATTTATTGGCATTGTGCTTTATATACCTGCATGATCCAAATGACATCATTCCAAACTAGTTGAATATGGTGGTTATAATTAAAAAAAATTGATCTTTTAGTCTTTTAATTTTTAATTCACTTATAACTCAATCCTTCAATTATGATTCGATGTGACTCAGTCCCTCAATTATGACTCACCTATAACTCAGTTTCTCAACTTTTGAATCACTCATAAATTAGTCCCTTAACTTTTGTTAATTTTTTTAATCTTAACTTATATCTCACATCAATGAGTAAGAGGAGGGTATTTTAAAATAAAATATGAATATTTTTTATTCCTTTTATTTGATAAGAAGTTTTTTTTAAAAAATTAAAAAATAAGGACCGAGTTATAGGTGAATCAAAAGTTGAGGGACTGAATTGTAGCGAGTTATAGTTGAGGGATTGAGTTACAAATGAGTTAAAAGTTAAAAAATTAAAAGATTAATTTTTTTAAAAAAATCAAGTTTATGATGTTTACATTAAGGAGGATCATACATTGTAATATCATGTTGGCGAAATCTTAGAATCGAAACATTCAAATTAAGATTTTGAGTTGACTTCCATATTATTTCCTTAGACCTCTTTTCCACTTTGCCGATGTTAAATACGCGAAAGGCACTCAGTTTTCTTGCATGAAGAAAGTCAAGAAGCCATTCAAATGATACTAAATAAATGGAAGAAATTTCACTTGAAAAGTCAAGTTAGATGAAAATGCCATAAACCAGTATTACTATAAACAGTTCACTCAATTTCACACACAAATCTACTCCTTTCGGTCTTTATTCCAACTATTTTATTGAAATTAAGGAATAATAGCTAATTTATTAGATATATTTTAAAATAAAAAATTTTCTTAACTTTACTTTTATTAAAATTAGAAAGAGAGATGAACAATACAAAGAAAAATAGAATCAGAGATGTAAAGTATACCATAAACCATGAAATTAAAATTTGTGACAGGTAAAATTAAAAAAATAATAATAAATAACTCTCTATGTATTTTATATTAAAAATAAAAAATTATTTTAAAAAATGTGCTATAATAAAAATTAGAAGGGAGTATTTTTCAAAGACTATTTAAAAAACTATTTTCAAGACTGTAAAGACAAGGTTAAAAGTCCAACAGCCTTTGGACCCCACGGATTCAAGACAAGGAATAGGTTGAGAGACTGTTTTGGGGCATGCTTAAGTTGAATCTGGCCGAAATCTATAGACACAGCGTTACATTTAAGATTTAACCACATAGTGGTGTGTCTGTATTACACAAAACCCCTTTATAGTAAGCGGTTTTGTACACAATATTTCTCACAAATTTTCCAGACATATAACAGAGTTCATGACCAATGAATAGTGCATCTGCGTTGGGCGCTATGTTATTAGCCCATTATTAATATTACATGCAGGAGATCACCAAGGCATAACTTTAATCAATGTATCATTAAACTTATAGCAAGTAGTACTATTTATTAGTTTTGGAGTGCATAAATAGTATGATGTATTATTGTTTTGAAATGCAAAAGGGAAATAAAAGAAAAAGGAGACAGGGCAGAACATGAACCCCCACACCCACATGCAAGCACTATTCTTTATTATTATTATTATTATTTTACACTAGTTCCCTCCTCCGTCCTCTTGTGTGATTTTGAAAGTGACAGCTGTGAGGGATACGACAACCCATGAACTTGTCGGCACGTCACAACAAAACTGCTTTCTCTATTCTTTTACTCAAACTCTACACACACACTCTCTCTCTCTCACACTTGTTACAATAGCGTTTTGAGCTAATGGGCTCACAAAGGGCTAAAGAGCCAAAGTAAAGGGGCATGAAATATAGAGATTGTCAATCGATAGGCTAGTAAATGATTGTATATAGTGTGCATAATGCTGTACATAACTCACATGAGATTCATTTTAAGTACCAAAGAGCTGTATATATATATATATATATATAAATGGTCCACTGACAACCAGTAACAAGTTGTGGAGCATATAAACAGCACAATCTGGTCGACAGTATGAGATCAGCGTATCAGTATTACTTCAATTCTTTTTTTGTGTGCCCTTCTGAGTCACCGTGTCGCAAGTCATGTGAGAATATGGATTTTTTTTTTTTAAACAACTTCTATGATTACTTTATGTCATACATAAATTGTTTAGTATTTATCAGAACAGGTAAATCAGGAGTAAAATAGTAAATTTTGGGTGGAAGAACTTGGTAACCGTCGAATCAAATACTGAAACTTGATCAAAGGATTGAGATTTAAATTAGAATATAATGCAGATAAGGAGATGACAATTAATGGGAGAGAGGGGGTGGAGGAGGGAAGTAAAAGAGGTGCATATAATGAATGAATCAACTAACCGCTGTGTGGATAGGCTTCAGGGATTGAATTAGTCCATTATTGCCTTCAGAGGGGACAGATCTAGCGAAGCTGTTATCCTCATCACTACAACTTTTCTTGACCTTCGTTGCCGCATTTATGAGTCCGAGCAGAACACTGTTGATATACGGAACACTGTTGATCTAGATTATTTATTTCATTAATTATCAGCATCCTCCTTTGTGCCAATCTTTATTGTCATTTTTCAAGGTTCATGACAAACATGAAAAAAAGAAAAAGAAGCTAGTCACAGTGACTATGACCAATGATAATTTTCTTCTTCAAGCTCACAGCAAGACTAAAAGAACAACTTACTATTATTTTTAAACCAGTTCTTATGTAATGAGGCGAGTCCTTTCTCCTCTTTAAAGAAAAAATAATTAACAAGGAAAAAAAATTTTAAGTATGCATGTGTGTATATTAGACCAGAAAGGCACAGAACCAATGGACCATGGTAACGACACTACCACACACTCACAGAATCACAATAAAAAGTTGAGTTCAGGGGTTTTAAGGCAAAATTCAAGACTAAGGTCCTCAACAAGTGATCATGTTAGGCATTCCACACTGAAGTTCTCAATATTCATTATTTGATTGAATAATATGGTTTTCATGGGAGAACATTGATGTTGGTAGAACATAACAGAGTCAAGCAGAATAGATGGAGTTAATTAGTATAATTAACCCGTAGAAATATCATTCATGAGGAAGAGGAAGCAAGTGAAATATGGTCCAACCTCCGTAAATCAGCAAACCAACAGGAACAAAGATGTTTGAAGCAGCTCTCTGACTTATCAGGAAATGAATGTAACGGAGACAGAATCAGGAAAGCTAGGACTTTGTCAGGAACTAGAATGGATCTCCAGCAGCGTTATTTTGGTGAAGTCCCTTAAGTGCTTTGATTTGTAGGGAAAATAAGGGGTCAATATCAGCATTATTTGTTCAAGAAAAAGATTGGAAAAATAAATAGAAGTTCTGTCATGAGATACTTGAGAAAATTTCGCCAGGTAAGAATTTCAGAGTATTCCTATTTGTTAGGAACCTGTTTGGGTTGCCATCAAATAGCTCCTCACAATAGCGTCCTCCGACAAAACATCGAGAAAAATTAACACCCTTTTCACAGAAACTATCTTGATGGTAGAACTGTAAATAAAGACTATTTAACATTTTATAGGTACAGATTTGAATTGTTGACAGTATAGTTCCTCTTAATTTTCTATGTGCACACTGCACTTCAATTTCTTGGCTATCTTTTTATTAATTTTTTTTTAATATTGTTAATTGCATAGATCTCAAAACAGATTTACCCTCCTAATTAATGCAGAGCTGAGATTTCAAATCTGCAAATAAAACGATAAAAAAAAAAAATCATGATGAAACTGAATAAAGAAGTCATAAAAACCATTAAGACCATACATGACGTCCTTACTTAACTGTCCAATAAAGGGAGACACTTGCAATAATAGGCCATCTTGGGATTAAATTTAGTTGCATCAAACAGTGAGAATGCCCATAAAATCTGAGCTTAGATCCCTGCTCTACAGTTGATTGAGCAAATATCAGAGATGCTAGAAGAACTCATGAAAGAGTCTGATCAACAGCCAGAAATCTTATATGTATATTAATTTATAATTTGTCCATTGTGTTGTAATTTTATTTGCAGGCAAAACAAATCATCAGGCCAGCTAAATTTTGCAGGGCAGACTGCAAAAGAGAATTCAGATCAGGAAGAAATCAATACGGAATTTATCAATCAGGATTGTTCTTCTGTTTTATCACTGGCACATAAGGCTAGGTGAGCTGGTCAAAGAAGTGAAGAATTCAATTAGTGATTATTCTAAATCTGGACATCGCCACCACAGAAACACAATGCATGGTGATGCAAAGGAAATTTTGCAAAAGTAATAATAATCTAGCGACAATCTTACACTCACTCAAAGTCCCTGCAACACTAAATCAGTGTCCAGTTTCTATAATGTTGTTTATAGCAAAGCAGGTCCTGCACAAAGATTACAATAGAAGGAGCAGATCAGATATACAATTCAAAAAATGTAGACGAGGGATTTTGCCATAGACCCACAAGGTTGTATCAGAACACCTAATACAGAAAGTACCATGGTTCAGTTACATATGCAGGTCCACTTCTTTTACTATCACTGATATTTGTGTGAATTTGCTCTAATCAAAACATATTGCACTATTATAAAAATGCAAATTAGCGAGAGAATATGGTGAGAGATCATCTTTTCCTATCTAAAATATCAAATTAACGAGGAAATTAATGAAGAATATTAATTTCATAACTCGATTTAAAATTAGCGAAAAAAATAATGAAGGATTGTCAATCAAGAATTTTATCCCCAGCTAATTATTATAAAAAAATTTGACTTTTGGCACCATCATTTTTAAATATAGGCATATTTAGTGAAGGATAATCCCTTGCTAAACTTAGCAAATTTTGAATAGTATTAGCAAATGATGTAACCTTCTCGCTAAAAATTAATGAAGGATTGAATCCCTCGTTAAATTTAGCAAGTTATTTTTTAATTATGAATTTAGCGAGAGATAAACTTCCTTATTAAAATGCAATTTAATGAGGAAAAATGGCAAAGTCCTCGCTAAATTCTATTTTTTAAGTGATGTTGATTGCTACTCTTAGACTGCAAAGCAAACTTAGTTAGGCTGGTCTACCATTAGCCTTGATATCTTAGGAGAGATTAGTTTTTGCAACTAGTTAGTTTTTGGGTGGGCAGGGCATAGTGTAGTCTCAACCATCCTAAATGTTCTAAAAAAACCAACGAACAATATCGCCGATAACATTAATATGGAGTCATCAGGACATCAATATGCGACAGATTGCTTGCATCTCAGACTTCAAGAACTGTAAAAGACCAGGCCAATTTTGTTGTGTCGAGTACGTCCTGCAGGACACACACACACACACACACACACACGCAGAGCATAGGTTTTCTAAAAGACTCCTTTGCTTGTACTCTTATTTTTTTTGTTTTTCAGACTGGTCAGAAGCATATTTATGCTTTTAACAGCGACATATAAACCTTCTAAATTAAAATCAGTGTTTCTAGTGTCTTGACGTTGAAACGTTGAATCCGATGCATCTGAGTGAAGATTGTGTTGCTTTTTGGATGAGAAACATTTTAATTTTTCGGTTGGCTTCTTGTATTCCCTCTTTATCACAAGCATCCTGAAGGTAGGTTGGAAGAAACAAACTTGATTATGGGCTTGTTTAGACTCTTTTCACTCTAAGGTTCTTACAGGTCGAGTTGATGAACTTGATTATGAAACGAATTCATAAACAGAATCCACTATTCATAAAGCGAACTTGATTCTTGCATAAAGAAAAAAAAAATCATCAAATCACGACAGAGAACAGAAGCTAGCTGGAGATGAATTGTAGTTGGAATATAGGCATTGATACAGATAAGTATACTAATGTTAAAGTGGGTTTACATATTCTATTTTATATACTTCGATTAGCTAAATTTAGAAATTAAATATTAATACGTGGGATGATATAATTAAGAGAAGAATTAATAATGCGCGGAAATGCAAGTTCCTAGTTAAGGTAACAAGAAAAAGCAGTACATTCTACAGCGTATAAGTGACAAACTTAATTAGCTTGCTATATCTACATCATTTTGATGAAAGAGACAGTGAATAACATTAATTATCAGATAATTGTGTCAGGTTTTCTGGATCCTTTTCGGAGAGAATATTGAGTTGCCATCACTGCCTCATCTAAAGTCAAAAAGAAAGAATCCTTCCCCATGGCGTCTACAAAGTTAGAAACCATTAACCTTTCTACCACCTCCCTTCTTGGATTCACTATCGATATCTGTCAAATACATAATATAGGAGTAAATTCTACATATGTAAATTTCTCAATTTGGAGGTCGCAATATATATATATATATATATATATATATAAAAGGTACCTGTATTTCATTTTTATCCAACACTCTACGAAGCTCCAACAATCCTTTGATACCAGTCATATCAATTGATGTCACTCCTAAATTCGATTAAACACGATCAACAATAATTTTTGTCAAAACTGAGTCCTCTACAGGATAGATTCAAGGCTTGATCATTTGCATCAACAAATTTATCCATTCGCTATATTTATAATTTTTGTCAAATTTTTAAAAATTTAGTGAAAATTATTTCATTGTACACAATTTAGAGAAGATATGTATTATTTTAAAAAACAGAAATGATGATTAAATAATGTTAACAAAATTTAAGAGAAGTTTGTGCATTTTTATTTTTGAGAAAAATGTAAATTTTGGTCCCAGGATTTTATCTTAGCTATCGATTTAATTCCTAAACTTTCATCCAACTCAGTCCTTATAATTATTTAAATAATTCAGCCCCTATAATTTTTTACTGAGTCAATATTCAGAGATTAAATTAATAATTGAGAGAAAATTGAGGGATTAAAAATTATATTATCTCTTTATATATATATATTTTTACTATTTTTTTCCCAACAATCTTGACGTCCAGATGAATCACCTGAAAAATCGAGAATGAGATTCTCAACGGAATCTCCAGAGGCCTGCTCACTTCGGATGTGTCTCAAAACCCTAAATCCAAAATGTTTATAAATTAAATAACACTAAAAGATGAATTCATTTGAGCGCAGTCACATATATAAAACCAGACGATCGAAATCTAACAAGGTTTTGTAAAATGAGAAACTACCTTTCTTTGATATAATTGGAGTTCGCATAGTAAAGAGGAGAACCAAGTTGTACAATCAGAATGCCGTGGACGTTTGATGACTTTGGATACTGCTCCACATCGCGATACAGACCCGAATCAGTTAACCTTCCCAGTTTACAAGTCGCGGGTCGGGCCACATACAAGAGAGCTCTCAACAGAGCAAGCCCCACCTTAAATTAAGATTCGATTAGTTTAAAAAACAGTGATTAGTTAGGTTAATCAAACCAATTAATTATAATCAAAAGATGGGGGCAAATTAAACTAGTTAAAGAGTAGTACTCACGGACATTGCGAGACCAACGTCCATGCTTATAAAGGCGACCCCAAGCACGCCAGCCATGCAAATGACGAAGTCAAACTTGTCGACTTTGAAGAGATGAATCATCTCGCGGTAGTCCAAGAGGCCAATCATTGCAGAAATAATGATCACAGCTAGAGCCACCAGAGGAGTGTAACCGAAGAGAGGAGCTAGGAATTGAAGTGTTAGTGCGATTAGAACTGACTGTACTATGTTTGAAAATGCTGTCTTACAACCCGCGTTGTAATTCACCGCAGTCTTGGAAAATGGTCCTGATGCAAAACAACAAGTTGCGTGCGTGCGTGCGTGTGTTAATTATGTATATTTTTGTATCTCACTACTTAATTTCCTTACTTACGTAGGAATTAGTATTTTATATGTATATACCACTTGTCAAGTAGCATGAAGTGAAAGAACCGCACAGGTTCATCAGCCCAAATGCTATCATCTCCTTGTTTCCATCATGAGGTGTGTTATCTATCACAGCAAAGCTCCTTCCTATTGCTATCCCTTCCTGAATAATTTTTGTAAAATAAATAATCAAATCAAATCATGTATTATTAGCCATGGGAAACGAAAACGATTAAGAAGAAAACAAAATGGACTAAGAGAAGGACAACATATTTTAACCCAAATCCCCGGACCGGAAATTATAGATCCTTTCAATTTATTTTACATTAGTTATAACTTCATTCGATGTGGGAATTAAGTCCACTCACAATTATACATTCTAATGTAGAATAACATAAGTTAAACTAGTGATGACAGATGTGAATTGTGAAGTTGAAAATGACTTTCTCACCGCCAAGGACAAAATGCCTGTGATTAAGGCAGCTTTCAGCACCGGTGATATATACTTAGAGTCGAAGTTTAACAAGTGGATGGAGAGAGGATTGATTCCTTTATCCAGATGACCCACCTAAAACAAGTGCCATTTATAAAATTAAAATTAATTTGTGGAATAAATATGGGTTTGTGTCAATGAAAATAATGTAAATTAGACAGCTCCTCACAATTTGAATTCCATGATTTTCGCCTTTAACAAGGAAAGTGAAAACTCCAGAGACCACGACCGTTATGATTGGACCCAGAGCCGGTACCCAAAAGAGTTTTGGATTTTTGTACTTCTGAGAATCATAAAGAAAAGATAAGCTTTCAGAATTTTGGCACATACTAAATAGTGATCCAAAAAGTACTGTAGGCCACTATAATATATTTAGGCCAATACGCACATACACATAATGGCCACTACATATATTTGATCATGATTAGAGCGAGTCTTGTATGGTATATGGAGTTTAAAATATGAGTTACTTCATCCGTTAAAAAATGTAAGATATTTTTAACTGAATTTTACCTTCAAATAAAGTGGTTATTTACTTTTAAACTAATGAAAATGGTTTTCCTGCTCATCGATCTGGATTGTTCGAATTTTAATTTGGATGGTCTAGATTTAAAGTATTATTTTATATTAATTTATTAAAATAAAAAATTATAAAATAAATTTATTACATTTTTTATTTTTATCTTATCTAGATTTAATTTAAAGGATCTAATTTAATATTAAGATTTTTATAATTAGATATTTTAAACTTTTCATATGTGCTTAGTATAGTCCAGATATTATATTTGAACTACTAGACTGTGTAAAGTACATATGGATAATTAATATACATTAATTATACAAATTTTAATATTAAATTAGATCATTTAAATTAAATCTAGATCAAATAAAAAATTTATTAAAATTATTTTATAATTTTTGTAATTTTTTATTTTAATAAATTAATATAAGATAATACTTTAAATCTGGACCATTCAAATTAAAATTTGGACAGTCCAGATCTCATTTGTTGGATGAGCATCGCGTGCTCATTCAAGAGATGAGGAGGAAAACTGCTTCTCAAACTAACTCTATTTTTTAATACTTACTCTTATTAAATATCTTATAATAAATATAAAGTTATTCATTAATAAGAGTAATTTAAAAAAATAATAATTACATCTCGAAAGATTAAAAATGTCTTATATTTTTTAACATCCAACTTATTAAAAAAATTTATATTTTTAAATGAAAAGAGTATATAACACTGCAGCTGGATTAAATTTTTATATTATATACAAGTAAAAATAGGTCAGGTCATATTGAGGTGACATTCTATGTGTAGCCAAAAGCTCATACCAAAGTCTTTTCTTGTCTAGTTTATGCATATTGCAAAAGGTGGAACTCACCACGAATCTAGTGAACTGCAAGAAAATAAGAAGGACCAGACCAAGAACAGTAGTCTCCCACCTTATCTGTTAAAGAAAACCAGGAGTCTTAATTACACCTACACTATATAAAAGGAAAAAGAAAGTCCTTCATGGCATTTAAAAAAACATTTAAACAGAAGCAGTACTCTCTTTTTTGGAGCGTGTCGAGTAGATTACGTTTGAATGTGTTGGATACAAACCTCGGATCTGTACTGCCAGATAGCGCGGATAACACCTTGGACGTTGGTTTTAGTGGTGAAATGTCGGAGGCCAAACAAGCCCTTCAATTGCTGGAATATCAGAATGATGGCCGTCCCAGTCATGAATCCAGTAATAGTTGAATGCGAAAAGAAATCCACCAATATCCCAAGCCTGCCACGTTTACACACACGTTATCGTGCATGAAACAATCAACGATCTCAAATCCAAAGTCCAAACCAAACAACCTCTAAAGGTGTCACCTTAAAACCCCTAAAGCAGCCTGGAACACACCAGTGATAAAGGCGGACGTGTAAACCAAATGAAGATACAACACGGGGTCGGTGTCTGGATTCACGACTCCTGAAATGCTCTCATATATAATCAACGAGCATGACGCGATCGGCCCCACCGCCACGTGCCTCGAGCTCCCGAAAACAGCGTATACAATGGGTGGAACGAACGCCGAATCTGATATATATATATATATATCATCACTATATGAAACTGATAAAGAAATTCAATGGAATTAGCAAGCGGAGTGAAAGAATACGTACAGAGACCGACGATGGGGGGGATGGAGGCGAGTTTGGCGTAGCTAATGCCCTGAGGGATGGCGAGGCTGGTGATGGTGAGGCCGGCGAGGAGGTCGGAGAATAAGAGACGGAAAGAGTACTTGGGAAGCCACTCGAAGATGGGAATGAAGTACTGCAAGCCTTTGAGGGCTCTCCGGCGACCTCTGTTTTCGTTCCTGAACTGCCTGAACGGATCGTCCGGGAAGAACGTTTCTTTCAATCCCGCTTTGAATTTGCTGAAGAATCCTCTCGAGTCGGACAAGTTCACTGCTGGCTCGTCCCCCTGATGAATAGTGTCCCCCATTATGGAATATTGTTACATATGTTTAATTATTAATCAACCAATGAATAAAGTCCAGAGCCAGAAGAAGAAAGAAGAAGAAGAAGATGAAGATGGTGATGAGTTAGAGAGAGATGAAAGAAAAGCAAGCGGTGGGGAGGCAAAGAAGGCAGGTATATAAGGAAGATATATATAGGGTTTTTGAGTTTCGTGGCAAGTATTGCGATGATAGCGTTGTGGGTGATAGTGAAGTGGACGGATAAGGAACTTGAAAATATTAATTTAAAAAAAGAAAGCAAGTTTTGACGAGATGCGAAATTTGAGACAGTGACTTGGGATTTGACTCCTTCCCAATTCATGATAATTCATCTCTCTCCCAGTGTTAATTTTCCCTATGACTCCATTTCACATTTTACATTTCGCTTATCCTCTCGTTGCCTTTATTAGCCACGAACCCTTTATTTAGCAAATTCGTCCCTCCCACTCTGCCCTGTAACCACGATCCATTTGTGATACTAGTTTGGTTAACGTGGATTTGCTTCCCTCACTCCTAACACGATCATCAACAAATCTGATCTTTAGCCTTCATTTACTACCAAGTTATTTATACGCTTTCCTTCAAAGGATCCGTGTTCTTTAAATTGTAGCAATTATTAGATATCCCAACCAGTTCGTATTGACGGTTGAATAAGTCGAAGATGATATATAATATCATGAAAAAAATAATTCATATATTTTCACTATTGCAAACACCATGCATGATGATCAATTGATCACCACAAATCTTAATAATGTGACGTTTAAAAAATTATATATGATATTAATAATTAAATTAGTTAAAATAAAAAGGTTAGCTTTGATTTGATGATTCGATTCTGGCCGTTTTGAACTAATCACGAATTCATATGAAACGGATTGAGCGGAGAAATTAAGATTACAAGTCTCGATTAGAAATGTCAAAACTGCTTTTCAAATGAAAAGGTCATAAATTGATTTTTGACCGGTTGAGTGTTTAATGGTTGAATTTAAATGATTGTATTAGCTTTTTGGCTAGTTTTTTCACCAGTTAGTTTTGATGTGGTCAAATAAATTGATTTAATGAGAAATTCTCTGATTTTAGTATTTTACAATTAAATTAGCCACTTAGCAAAAAACGGAGAAAAAAAAGTCAAGACAATTACAAATAAATCGTATATATTATATTATAACTAATAATAATAATTTGAAATAAATATGACTTTAACCCCAAAAAAATATGAGTTACCATATCTACAGCCTAAAAGAGCTTCTGGGCAATAGTAAAATTGGGTATCTTTAATTCCAGGAGAGAAAAAAAAAAAAGTTTCAATTTTGAACTGGTATATATCATATGATCTACGTTCACGGTCATGAAGCAGCATTGATATATCTATTGTGGTTAATTTAATATAGAACTTGAGTCCTAATCAATTAAGCACCTACAGAATTAATATTCCCTAAAATATGTAGCATTAATGCTGAATGCTCCAAATAAACTCGAGTCTCGTAGTAAATAGCATATCTTCTCATTTATTTATTTCTGTTAACGCGAGCAATATATGGCACGACGACGTCCATGCATGGTCAATTAAATCAACAGTCTCTGAAAAGATATATATATATAGAGAGAGAGAGAGAGAGATAGAGAGAGAGAGAGAGAGAGAGCGAAGAAGAGAACAAATTAAGGGACATGTAAGTTACTAACGAATGAGCTGTCATTAAGTGATTCCGTCTTGGCAAAGCTTACAGACAGGAAAAGATTTGTCTTGATTTTGCTTCAATCAATCACAATTTGATAGACATGACGCTATAGCGTTATATATGAATTATGATCATGTCCTGTATAGTCGCTGGAAGCAACATGAAAATGTGAGCTGTCATAAACCAACTCTCTAAACTAAGCTCCAATTTTTCAAACTATCATTTTGATACAAATTTCAGAGAAGTTAATATATTTTATCCCCAAACAACTTTCAGTTTTTAAAATTACAAACAACATACTTAAAAAAAATTGAATTTTTTGGTCATCCCAAAATAAAATTGCGATTTACATAATTAACAATTACCATACTTATATATACCTTCATGACATCAACTACGTGAAGCCACGTTTACTCGCATAAACGTTTGGTTGATACGCATGCATGCGAGACCTCGTCGTGTTATACCAAACCTATTGCGTCATTGCGTTGGCGCCAACCCCAAAAAAGAGGAGTATGATTAACAAATTAATATGGGACCATACATAAATGCTTTTTTCCTTTACCATAGAGCAATCGGAAAGCATTTCCAGTAATTAATAAGTGTCATGGCGTCGTTACATGTATATTTTTTCACAAAAAAAAAAAAAACTTCGAGAGCCTTGAGGGATGGGATTGATCGAATGAAGTAATGAGGTATCGGAGAAGTCCCTTACGATAATATATGCATGCATGATATGGAGATTGGAGAGACGGAAGACGTTAATTTCGAACACCCATGATGTGATTGAGATAAGGCGATCCTTTTGCTTTATGCATAAACTTGCACCTAAAGCGAATCACATCAAGCCCTTATCATACACGTACGTTTGTTTAATTAAAGCTGGTTGATATATTTATGTTTAACGACCCTTAACTAGGTTTCACTCTCCCACAGGAATTATTATAACATCACCGGCCCGTTCAAATCCAAATCTCCATCAGGAATTGTTATTATTACTAACAATGGTCTCACAGAATTGAGAAATACTTTTAACATTTTTATTTGACACGATTGCATATCCCAATGCTTAAACCTAAAATTCTAAAATAAGCTAATTCAATTCTCTCTATCAGTTGAATTGAACACTCCTTGACTGTATATTTTACTTTTGTGACAAATGAATGACAATATGCATCAGTGCGAACACCAACTAATTGAAGGTGTTAGGAATGAGAAGCGATTGTCTAGGAACAGAGTGGCAGGAGTGATAGGCAAGGTTATCAGAATGACACCACATTTTAACTTCAAACATTAAGGTTAAGTTCATGGGTCTCTCTTTTTTATTGTATATTAGTTATTAAGCTTAACTATATTCAATATGAAACTTTCCGCATCATCTTTAATCTACTCAAACTTAGACTATCTAACAATCTCTCTTTCAAGTGTGAGTTTACAAGCTTTCCATGTTAAAGACGTCACAAATACCAAGTTCTTATTTTTTTTTAAGGCTAGCCTAATTTTCGGGCAAACGTATGAGCAATAATGGATTTACAGATCCCAAGCAAAACTTGGCTCTAATATTACTTGTTAGGAATAGGAAGAGACCGCTTGAGAATGGGGAGAGAGGAGAGAAGGGCAAGAGTAGTAGAAGGACACAACATTTGAACTCAAAACTTGCTTAAATTTATAGGTGCTTTCTCTTTATTATATATTAATTATTAAGCTCAACTTTATTCAATGTGTGACTTTCTACATCATCTTATATCCACTCACACTTGAACAACCTAATAGAAAGAATGAGCTTGAAATGATTGACATCTCTGCTTTAAGGAGGAAGTTAATAAAGTTTGAAAAATAGAATAAAGCCAAAAGTAGGACTGGAAAAGATATCGAAAATAAGCAAAACCAAAGGGGTTGTTGCCTAGACGAGAGAAAGAGGACAGCCTCCAAGAAAGAGGCATGAATGTGCAGCCCAAGCCTCCTAATAAACCTCCCTCAGTTGGCCATTAACATTGAATTGGAAAAGTGAACACATCAAAAAGTGAAAGCTATGTATATAATTCAAGTTGGAATTGGCAACTAATGTGATCTGTGGTGGCAGATTCATCACATTTCTTCTGCAATCATTACAAAATTAAAGGTTTTCCAGCACTACGGCAAACAGTAATCTCGACTAATAAAACATCATATACTCAAAGACTGAGAATTCGTAATCGTCATTATTTGAATATGATGCCAATAATGTGGGTGCTTTTGCTAGCTAGCTGGCATGTTTGACCGTAATTCACAGGTCCATGATATATGGAATTCCCAGATTCCATAACTAGCTTGTCGATTTCAAGTGTTGATGCATTATGTGCGCGCGCGTGTTTTCGATCTCCTTTTTGGCCCTGCAAGTGTTGCCAAGGGTTTAAATGCTCAAGTAACTGCTTCAGCATTATCCAGCTCAATTGAAAATAATCCTTTTAAATTAATTTTTTTTTTATATTCCCACGGACTCATATTCGAAATCCTGTACTTAAGCTATCTTAATTTCTTGTACTATGACCAACGTTATCGGTAGTAGCTAGATTTTTTTTTTTAAAAAAAAAGGGGCTTCCTAAAACATGTTTCTAAATATCTCTCCTTTCTATTTTTTACTCTATCAAATTGAATTTTTGATGCCTCACTTAAAGTTTTGTTTGATTAATATATCATTCAGTTAAAACATTTCATTCCAATCAAATGATTAGTTATCTTGTGCAGTAGTACATAAACAGCGATAAGTGATTTAATTTTATATCACATCAATAAAATAAATGAATAAATAAATAATTTTGCAATATATATATTAATTGTTTGAACAAAGACGACATCATGTTCCACCAATATAAAGCATATTCATAGTGACCCACTTAGAAAAAGAAAAAGGGGTTATGGCCCTTTTTACAGATCGATAATTCATAAAGCAGTAGCTTTCAACTAAACTCATTGACACTTGTAGATAATGCACAAATATGACCTTCCCTGGGAGAGTGCTCATAATTTTGTATACACTTTTCGACTTTTATCACATATGTATGTGGTTGTTTTTTTTTTTTTTGGCCAACGTGTATAGTCGTTAGTAGAAACTGCAAAATCTTTATGAATAGTAGTGCATATGTAAGCAAAGATTGATCGACATAAAATGATGACTCTTCCAATATTAATTTGATTAGGATTTAAAGAGCGACTCGGGGAAAAAGTGTAGTGCTATAAGTTACACGTAGAGCCGTCGGAACAGACATAATTCATGATTTGGTGGCACGTAAGCAAACACTTCCCTCCGCTCCAACATACTCTCATGGTTTTATTTATAAATTATTTTTAATATATTTTATTGTTATTAAAAAAATTTTAAATCTCATTAGTTTTATCTAAAAATTAAATAGTTTCTTAACTGTACTCCAATTAGATATACATACTTTAATAATATATTTTCTTTCTTCAACA